TGTTATTAACATCCCCGTCCTCGCCCCCGATTTTATCAATCGGGGAAAACCCGAACCCGAACCCGATAAACACGGGTTTTTCCCGTCCAAATCGGGGCGGGTTCGGGCGGGTACCCACGGGAACGGGTTAGATTGTCATGCCTACCTTCTACTTGTTCCTTATAACACTGTTATGGACATTTGTGCTATCATAGGTCATTAAGATCTTTGTTCATAAATCATAATGCTAGTTGTGCATGTGTAAAATTGTCTTGTAGGTTCCAGGTTATGAACAGGGAAACTTCATTGGTCCTACCATCTTGTCAGATGTCACAGTTGATATGGAATGCTACAAGGTAATCTTAATTATGTTCTCACTTTGCTGAATTAAATGGTGTTGCGTAGGTTGTCAAAGTTTAGCTGCATTGTAATATATTTGTGATGGGTTTTCATCTTGATTTCTGCAGGAGGAGATTCTTGGCCCAGTTCTTCTGTGTATGGAGGTTGTTATTGAATCCTTTGTTTTTGTATTTATTAAATTGAGAATCTGTTAAAAAAAAATGTTAAAATCTGATTATTTTTATGCCCAGGTTAACAGCATACATGAGGCGATAAACATCATCAATAGCAACGAGTACTACAATTTAAGCTTCTCTTGAGATGACATGGTCGTGAAGACCACATCGGCCGATGTCCATGTTGCTGACCTAGCTGAAGTATTTAACCAAATACGGAAGCACAACATGCGCTTAAACCCCGAAAAGTGCGTCTTCGGAGTTCAGGGAGGCAAGTTCCTCGGCTTCATGATCACTCATAAAGGTATTGAAGCCAACCTAGAAAAGTGCAAGGCCATCATACATATGCATAGCCCCACATTGTCAAGGACGTCCAACGCTTGGCAGGAAGATTAGTCTCTCTTTCTCGGTTCATTCCCAGGTTGGCAGGGAAAGCAGGACCTATCTTTACCCTACTTCGCAAGCCAAAAAATTGAGTGGACTGACCAATGTGAAGAAGCTTTCAAAAGCTTCAAAATTTTCCTCGCCACCCCACCAGTCCTACAGAGGCCGGATCATCATTTTGACCTCCTCCTATACTTGGCAGTTGGCGAAAGTGCAATCAGCGCGGTGATGGTGCAAGAGCGCAACAAGAACCAAATTCCTATATACTACATCAGCCGAGTTCTCCAAGACACAAAGAAGAGGTACCAAACGATTGAGAAGATGGCCTTGTCATTGGTCACCTCGGCCCGATGTCTTCGGCCTTATTTCCAAAGCCACCAAATCGTCGTCAAAACGGACTACCCAATCAAGCAAATGCTGAGAAAGCCAGAACTCGCAAGACGCATGATTGCGTGGTCCGTAGAGCTATCCGAGTTCGGCATCCAATATGAAAATCGAGGCCCTTTGAAAGCCCAATACCTGGCAGATTTTGTGGTCGAACTCACCCCAACCTTAGTAAAAGAAAAGTAGGTATGAACTCTATATGTTGATGGATCTTGCAACACTAAAGGTGGTGGTGCATGTATCATTTTAGAAGGACCCAACAATGTCACCATAAAACAATATCTTAAATTCGGGTTTAGAATCACCAACAACCAAGCAGAATACAAAGCACTACTAGCAGGACTGAGGTTGGCTCACGACATCGGAGCACAAATGGTGAGTTGCAACAGTGACTCAAAACTCATGGTAGAACAGTTCAGTGGGACATACCAAACCAAGGACGCTCTACTACAAAGGTACTTTCATGCAGTATCCCAACGGATCTCATCCTTTGAGGAGTTTACCATACATCATGTACCCCGAGAGTATAATGTCAAGGCCGACCTCCTGTCCAAGCTTGCTAACACAAAGCGCCCCGGGCAACATCGGACCATTATCCAAGAGACCCTCAACTCTCCCAGCCTAGACGATAAAGTCGTCAATACTAGCGATACCAAAGACAAGGGATGGATGACAGATATATGGAACTACTTAAAGGAGGGGACACTACCCGAGGACAAAGATGAAGCTCGGAAGGTGAGGGTAAGGTCATCTAAATTTTTCGTCATTAGGGACGAACTCTTCAAATGAGAAATCTCGGCTCCCCTGCTAAAATGCCTAACCAAGTCCCAAGCCACCTACATCATCGAAGAGATCCATCGAGGAAGATGCGGTATGCACTCCGGGGCACGCTTGATGGCAACTTGGGTGCTCCGAGCTGGATACTACTGGCCCAAGCTGAAGTCAGATTGCAAAGATTACGTACAAAGGTGCAACACACATCGGCAATCACCCGAAGTCCTACACAAAATAGCGTTCCCATGGCCCTTTTCCCAGTGGAAAATGGACATCCTCAGACTGTTTTCTCCCGTGAAAGGTCAACTCAAATTCCTCCTTGTGGCAGTCGACTACTTCACCAAGTGAATCAAGGCCTGCCCACTTGCGAAAATCACCCCCGAAAACGTGCAAAAATTCACCTGGAAGAACATCATTTGCAGGTGCGGTATCCCATACTCCCTCATCACCGATAACGACAGGCAGTTCACCGCACAGAGCTTCGAGAGTTTCCTCCAAGAGCTATATATATATATATATATATATATATATATATATAATTTACTATCTTATCTACAGTACTTAATTGTTTGTCATTCTATAGATATGGTAATGGAGCATCCATCTTTACAACTTCTAGTGCAGCGGCAACAAGATTCCAGACTGAGGTTGAAGTTGGACAGGTAAATACTGTCACCTCTCTGCTAAACTTTGAAGTGAGACAAGATTGTTAGGTGACATCTCCATCCAAATCCATGTTCGCATGCTAACCGATGACTTGTCTTGTTTTCACATTCCCTTTTATTACTTGTACAACCTGGAAAAGTGGAAATCCTTGAATAACGTCTTCCATTATAGCTGTATTTTTTTCCCCCATAATGCAGAACATCCTTCACATGCACCCTTTTTTGTAATTTCCATTTCATATAAACCTTTTAGAACTTTAGGCAATTGTTTGATATGCATACAATGTTATGCAAAGCTGTTTGGGATTATTTTACATTTTTTGCCCTATTTGCATTTTTCTAATGAGTATTAAATATGATCTGAATCAGGTTGGCATAAATGTCCCGATCTCTGTTTCATTGCCTTTTTCTTCATTCATTAGCTCCAGGCCATCTTTTGTTGGTGATTTGAATTTTGATGGTAAAAACCTATCGAAAACCTTGCTTTCATTGATTTTCTACCTGATGTATGCATTCAGGGCATGAGCTTATTCTCCATTCTTAAAAAACTTTTCTGCAGGGAGAGCTGGAATTCAGTTTTACACACAGATTAAGAGGGTCGCTAAACAATGGTCTGACACATTAGATGGAGATAAAGCAATTCTTGAAATACCTTTTACTTAGAAAATATCAATTGTATTTTGCTGTCCTTTTCCCCCCTCCTTTTTGGGACAGTTGTATATACCTAGGCAATGTATAGCCGACCCCACCTAGTGGGATAAAGGCTTGGTTGTTGTTGTTGTTGTTGTACTATTTGTTTGAGCAGGAGTCAACTCTTTCTGTACCTGGTAGGTAAATATCTCGGAGTGCTGTGAGTAAATTTTTGTAGAGAATCCTATCAAGTAAAGGAACTATATGTCAGACCTGTGAACTTGCATTTCTTCTTTCAACAAACCCTCCTGGAAAACATGTTAACGTGTCTATCTTTACAGAAAAACTAAAGATGGTATTTGTTAAGAATAGAGACTAACCAGTGCATAATATATTGTTATTGGTAAACATGTGAATATTTTTTCCACTCTTGTATAAAGATGGCTACATTATGCTTCACTAGAAATTCTCATCTCCCGCCTCAATGCGGCTGAACCCATAACATTTCTTTAACCTTTTTCGTGTCATTTCTTCCCTCACTTGTTCAGTATCAAGCCAATGACCATGTTCGCCATAGATCATATTCAGCAACGTGTAGTTGCCAGCGTTATTTGGTTCTGATCTTATAAGCTGTGGGGCTAGCATTTCTGCTATGTCCAGTCTTCCGTGAAGCTTACAAGCCGATACGAGAGAGCTCCATATTCTAGCACTTGGTTTCATAGGCATTGTTCTAAGTATTTCCAAAGCATCTTCAAGCTTGCCTGACCTTCCAAGAAGATCGACTAGGCATGCATAATGCTCTATAGTTAATGGAATTTTATAATCTACATTTACTTGTTTAAATATCCTTTGCCCCTCAGATACCAGGCCAGCATGATTACAAGCAGATAAAACTGCAAGGAAGGTGATTGCATCAGATTTCACCCTTCTCTCATTCATTTCATAGAAAAGTTGTAAAGCTTGTTCACCACATCCATGGAGGCCATAGGCATTGATCAAACTACTCCACGTAACAGAATCTTTGTTTGTCATTTCTAGGAATATCTTACTAGAACCATCCAAACAACCACATTTGGCATACATGTTTATAAGTGCATTGCCCACAGAGATGCTAAAACTAAATCCGGATTTAAAGATATAACCATGGAGTCCACAACCCTGCTTCAGTGAAGATAAATTTGTGCAGGCAGAAATCACTGCCAACAAAGTTACGTAGTTTGGTTCAGTTTCCGCAGTTCTCATTTTATTAAAAAGCTTAAATGTTTTATTGCTATCCCCTCTTCGAGAATAGCTCCCAATAATCGAACTCCATAACACAACATCTCTAAACCTAGACCCTTCAAATATTAATTCGGCAAGCTGCATTGATTCTCCATGTTGACCATACATATTTATAAGAGCTGATGAAAAACTAGGACATGACTCAAATCCATGACGGAATGCATAACTGTGAATCTCCTTCCCATACTTAACAGAACCTGGCTCTGTACAAGCAGGTAACAGAGCAATTGATGTCACTCTATTTGGGCAAACTCCTTCAGCCTGCATTGCTCGAAAGCATGCAAAAGCCTCGTCATAATCTTGATTAGCAATGCATCCAGATATCATGGCAGTCCATGAAACCTCATTTTTCACCTCCAACTCATCAAACACACGCAAAGCCATCAAAGAATCATCACACCTAAAATAAAAATCCACAAGAGCTGTTGACAGAAACACTGACTGTCCTATCCTATGATCAACAACAACAAGAGCATGAATCTGTCTTCCTATCCTTGATCCCATTTTCCTCCCACACTTGGATACCACGCTAGCTAGCAACTCAGGCTTGGGAACAAGACCAAGTAAGTACACATCTTTCAACGTTTCCAATGCTTCTTCCAAATACCCATTTTGCAGATAACCGTTGATCATGGAGTTCCAGGTGATGGGGTCTCTGTGAAGCGTTGTGTCAAACACTTTCCGTGCTGATTCGACATCCGAAAACTTAGCATACATGGTGATGATAGAATTGGACACAACTGATTCAGAGTGGGAGCCTGTCTTAAGAGCTATGCAATGAAGCTGTGTGCCAAAAGCATGACATTGGGCCGAGGAGCTTGCCTTGATGACTGATGGAAGGACAAAGGAAATGGAATATTGGCCAGAGAGATGGAGTTCAGTGAAAAGCTGAAGAGTCTGATGATAAAGACCGTTTGAGAGCAAGGTTTTGATCTGGTTGGAAGGGGAAGAACGTGTGGGGGCCAGAGTAGTCAAAAGGCGTCGGGTGTATAAGGCCATGCAGGGCAGAGGATTCCTCAAATTTGGACTCAGAAACAGTGTATGCCCACTTCATTTCATGGGCAAATCCAGGAGCTTTCTCTTTTGTGAGAGTGAACTGAATTCTTAATCCTAGGACTATGATGGGATAGTTTAATTATTCATTGTTTCTTCTTTTAATCCAACACAAGGGTGTTTCCTCTCTTCTGATTTTCTTCCCATGTATCAAGTAATGTAACGTTAGCTTGGCTTAAAGTTCATCCATTCAAAATAACTATTATACTCTTTTATATCTGAAAAGCTAAGCTTTATAGATTGCACTTAATATTTTGCACTCTCATCTGGAAGAATTATTAGGTAAGTTAGATCGATAAATGTCTATATATATTTTTATTTATTTATCAGAATTACAATGCATTAGACAAATTTAAAATTGTGTACATGCTTCAACTATTTACTATTAGGCCAATTTTAGTAGTCAAATATCCATATTCTCAACAAGCATGTATTTAAATTTTTTAATTTTATAAATAATTAATAACACTTAATTTTTTATATGTAAAAATTTGTTAAAGTGTGTGTTTATGAATTATGACCACTTAATAGTTTATATTCTTTATTTAAGCTAATGATCATATTCAGTGGGAACATAAAGGACGAGTGTCTATAGCTAATCCTAAATCAAATATAGGTTAAGTTGGTTCCATTTTTTTTTAAATAAGTTAGATTATAATTATTTTTAACTCTTATTTAACTTAAATAATTTAAAAAGTTTTTAAATATATTTAACTAGCTTTTTTATAACAATAAAATGACCTATTTAAATCATCATAATTAATAATATAATGAAAATGATATTATCTTTATTATTATTATATTAAATTTCCACTACAGTATTTTTATTTTATATATTTCCTGGTTTATTTAAAAGCTTAAATTCGCTAGTCTATATACAAGTATGCGTCATATTTAGATTTGTGAATATTATTATTATACTATCACCCCCTCATGTCTTTGAGTTTATCAAATTTTTATTTGAAATGTTAAATAACTAATGTACCAAAATTATGTTTATAAATTGAAATTTAGAATAATAATATAAATAAAAAAAAAGATTTTCTGTACACCCATATTTTACGGACTAATAATGCATGAGGTACCATTAGTTTTTTTAATAATAAAAAGGATTACAATCTCGATCTCAATCTCAATCCACATGCACATAAATAAATAAATAAATAAATAATAAATAAGCACATTTGTCGTCACTACAACAGTGAGTGTGGCTTTTCATCATGAATGGATTGGTGAGTCTGAGTTGGTCACTACTCAAAGACATGTTCCACAAATTCCCCAAATATTAATACGTGATTCAAAGCACGTCACTTACTCGTTTATTTGGACATGTCTATTCAATTTGCTATATGATGAAGAAAAACCCAATTTTGATGTTGCAGTGAATAGCTTGATCCGTTTGAGGCCTCATATTGATCCTTGACATGGCAACTTCTCATTTAACAAGCCAACATAGACCCTCAGTAAGCTCAAACTTAGTTTCAATATTCCTCACAATTTGACGTCTTGGTGATGTGATGGGTATCTATTATTAATCACATTTTCCCATTTGCGTTTGATTATTTTGAACCAGAGGATTCCAAATCTTATTGGGGGCAGTTTTGTGGACTCAAAATCTTTGACTTTCATTGATGTTATCAACCCTGTACGTGTTCTTTCTCATTTTGGTTTTATATTATCCTGAGCTAATAGTTTAGTTGAGTTGAGTCTCTTGTTTGCGGTTTTGAGAAAGGGAGATTTCTAATACATATATCATCTGATAATAGGCAACACAAGAAGTAGTTTCACAAGTTCCTTGCACTACAGATGAAGAGTTTAAAGCTGCAGTATCTTCAGCAAAGAAGGCATTTACATCATGGAGAAACACTCCAATCACGAAACGCCAGCGTGTTATGTTGAAGTTCCAAGAGCTTATACGCAGAGATATGGTGAGCATTTTTACAATGTTCTATGCCTCTGTCACGCATATATCCACAGATTTAGACCAAGACACCATAACTTCACATATGCCATTTTTTGTTGGTCATTTCAATACTTTGTAATTGTTTCAGGATAAACTTGCATTGAATGTGACTACTGAACAAGGAAAGACGTTAAGGGATGCACAAGGAGATGTGTTTCGTGGTTTAGGTTGGTCTTTCTATTATGTTGCTCGAGAAGTTTTTGAAATGAGATATTGGTTGAGCTCATAACTTTTGGTGATGGACTTCTATGATCATTCTGATTTATGTCATTTTAGAGGTGGTGGAACATGCTTGTGGGATGGCAACTCTTCAAATGGGGGAATATGTTTCCAATGTATCAGTTGGAATTGATACTTACAGCATTAGAGAACCACTTGGTGTTTGTGCTGGTATTTGTCCCTTCAACTTTCCTGCAATGATTCCCTTGTGGGTAAGTTGTCTATGTCTATTACTTTTTGAGTAGTTATTTTGCTAATGCAATTAATTTTCTCTTACAAGTTCCTGGATACTCCTTTTTTCTTGTTTGCTTTATCATCTCGTCCATATCAACATTCAACATGTATAAGATACGAAAGGTCTAGACGTCTAGTTATATAAAGGGTCCACAAATATTAGGCTAGAATAGCATTGTATTTGTCTCTGTCCAAATGCCTATGCTATTGTTATTTTCATTTCTTACTGGAGTATAATGTATATATGATATTGTATTGGACACAAAATTGGCATTATGTTCATAAAAAAAATACATGGTAACCAACTCCAAAGATATATGATCTTTCTGCAGATGTTCCCAGTGGCAATTACCTGCGGAAATACCTTTATTCTAAAACCGTCAGAAAAAGTTCCAGGTAATGCCTTCTACCTATTTTGGTTGTTGATTAATATCCTTGCATTTACTTAATATGGAGCTTAGCGTTAAATATAATGGAAAAAGAGACTGATATTTTCTGTAATTTGAAGCAAGATTATGCTTCTTTAACAAACTATTAGCATTATGGCGTCTAGAAGACTAGATCTTACCTAAATTGTATTGTGATTTGTGAATACCAGGACCAAGATTTTTTTTTTTTTAATTAAATGAATGCCTTAATTTTGTCACCTTTTCTTCAGCAACTGCTAATTATTTTGCAATTGCTAGCCTTGCATATTGCATCTATATTTCCATTGCCAATATAGCTATTAATAAATTGCAAATTTTGAAATGACAAATGAGAAATATTCTTGACATTTAAATTTTGTTAAGCCTTCCTTTCTTGTTACATTCAAATATTATAGTGGAGATACTTGGATGTCATGACTTTGGCATTTTTCCAGGTGCTTCTGTAATGCTAGCAGAATTGGCAATGGAGGCTGGTTTGCCTGAGGGTGTCTTAAATGTAGTTCATGGAACCCATGTATGGTTTAGCCTTTTCTAATTAAACTTTTTTTCTTCATCTGTTTCTTTTGAAACTTTCCAAGTAAAGGAACTCATATGAACTCATTTGGTGTTTGATAATTGCTTCATGCATTCAAGTATTAAATCGGAGAGTTGTGTATAACAACTTGTTGCATTTTAATGCACCAAATGCTACTTGCTGTGCTTTGTTTTTCTCGTTGATTGATGGTCTGAAATCTTAATAATTCAATTGGAAACAGGATATTGTGAATGCTATTTGTGATGATGACGACATCAAAGCCATATCTTTCGTTGGTTCAAATGTTGTAAGTCATTTAATGATTTTTTTAGCTTACTGCTTTTATATGATCATTCTTTATTAAACCAAAAGAAATCCTGTTTTATGTTAGCAAAATTGAATAATTTTACAATTTGACTGTACCTACACAAAAAAAAAAAAATGGAAGAGGGCAAGTGATCAAATGTTATTTTTTCGTAAATGATATACCCCTTTACATATCCTTATTTGATGAATTTATTTTATATAGGCTGGAATGCACATATATGCGAGAGCAGCAGCTAAAGGGAAACGTGTTCAGGTGGGTGTACTTAGCTTTCTCCTCACCTTAGTAAAATTGTTTTTTCTATGGCATTGATCCGAAGTTGTGCAAATTTTGTTCAGGCTAATATGGGGGCAAAAAATCATGCGGTTGTAATGCCTGATGCGAGTGTTGATGCTACAGTAAATGCTTTAGTTGCTGCAGGTTTTGGTGCTGCTGGACAAAGGTGCATGGCTCTCAGCACGATTGTTTTTGTTGGAGGCTCAAAACTGTGGTATCCTTCTCTAACAAATCTCTACCATGTTATTTTTTTAATTTGTTTTATGATTTGAGGTACCATCTTACCCTCGATGCAATTTTATGCTCTTCCTCTATATGCTTGTTCCTAAATGATCTGGATTTGGTGTGTGCCAAATTGAATCACTACTCTTCATTTACCAAGACATTTTTTTTTTAAAGTACATGTACATATCGTATACAATTCGTAATATCTTAAAGCTGACAATTAAGAATTAAATTATGTTCGTAAAACATGACATCTGATAGCCAAACATTATTTTAATACGGAAATCGATTCTGAAAATACCATATTAACCCCTCGCGTCCCAAGACAAGTCTTATGATCACTCGGTTAAGAGACTTGATTTCCTAAGACATAATTTAACATCTCTAAAATATAATCTCATCGATTAATAGGGATGATGATTAATCATTTCCATCCTTTTGATAATTCTGGTGGGAATGTCCCAAATCCCGAGAATAGGCTGTTCCAAGTATTTGGACTTTTTGTGATCCAGTTTGGCCTTGTTACATTCAAGACATACTTTTAACCGTGTATTTATAATCTTAATGTATAAATTCATCCTTTAGTCTTCACTGTTTTTCCAGGGAAAGTAAACTTGTGGAGCGTGCCAAAGCTCTTAAAGTAAATGCCGGAACTGAACCAGATGCAGACCTCGGTCCAGTCATTAGCAAACAAGTTTGTTTATGGTTCTTATTTTTCTTTTTCCATGCTGTGGATTTGAACTAAAATTTAATAGCAAATCTTCAGATTATTGTTTAAGAATTAATATGCATCGTAGTTATATATGTTTCTTAAATATTCTTACAATCTTACCGACTGCACAGGCAAAGGAGAGAATACACAGATTAATTCAATCTGGGGTTGAAAGTGGTGCAAGACTGGTGCTCGATGGAAGAAATATAGTGGTAGGTTTTTTATTCTCATTCTCTTATATCATTTCAAATTTCGTTGATTTGTTGTTCATAGACATATCTATACTTTCTCATGTATGATCAATTTACCTCTTCAATCTTTAGCATAGTAATTAATATGGAAATTTTTGGAAACTCAAAGGAAGCAGAAAGATTTATGTATACAAAGATTGTAATTAAAGTAATATTCTTCAATTATAGCACTCTTCTCCCTGAGGCCTAATAAAAAAAAGAAGAAATGCATATAGGAGAAAATGAAACATTTATTATTTGGTTACCGTTTGATTCGGTTAGTAGCTAACAGTTCTTATACTGGTTAACCAATGAATACCAGCTAAAGAAATGGAACTTTTTATAATTTATATGCATGTATAACTTTTGGTGGTGTATATGAAGCCAGTGTGTTAGCACAATAAAAATTGGTTTTGCTTAACTTTTAACTCCCAATTCTGTTGCTTTCTTCATTCTTGCTCTTCTCCCTTCTCTCCTTTGACACCCATCAAGCTGAAATGCAATAAAATGAAGCACCCCAAAAGGAAAAGTAAAATGGAAAATGTAAAGGACATACAATTTGGTGCATATCTGTATTTCAAATACTGTAGATCAGTCCTTGCATTGTCCTCTCTTTTTCCATATAGTCAATAGTTTCTTCTTCTTTTTTTTTTAATCTTTTAATTCACTTTTAAGACTGCTTAACAATTCTCTTGTGCATATCAAGTAGGTACCAGGATATGTATCTGGCAATTTTATTGGTCCAACCATCTTATCAGATGTCACTGCCAACATGGAGTGCTACAAGGTATTTTATCACTAATCTAATCACCAATCTGTAACTGTTCACTAAAGAATTCCAGAAAGTAGAAACACTTGAGGTTAAGATTTAAACTAAACATGCTTGTAACTATTAGTTTAAAGCTAATAGTTGCATGTAGTGAAACTTTTGAGAACCCATCTTTGTATCTATCCATTGTTGGAGGCCTCTAGTATTTCACCGTCATAAGACCTAAGTTATGCTATGTAGGGATGGTAAAACCGGTTTTAGCCTAGCCTGCCAACCTGTCTAATTTATTATTATTATTATTATTATTATTATTATTATTATATTTTTAATGTTAAGTTTCAATACATCACATGAGATTTATTATATGAATAATTTATAATTTATTATACAAAAAATATATTATGTATTTGATTTATTTTATTATATGTAATTTAAGATTTTGTGTAGAAAATTTGATGAAAGAGTTATTATGATTATATATATGTGTGTATATGTGTGTGTACGCATGTGTGTGTATTATATAACAAATTTGAGTTTTTTTGTATAAAAAATCAAACAAAATCTATTATAATTTGAGATATATTTTATTATTGAAGTACAATACTTTATATAGATTCTTTAGATATTGAAAAATAAATATATTAAAAGAGATATTCAAAATAAATATGCAAATTTATTTATTTATTTATATTTTTAAAAAAATTATAGGCAAGTCAGCCTGTCAACCCACCCTTAGGCGAGGAAGGCCAGGACATCCAACCCATTTTCACTTGGCAGGTGGGGTTGGCCTAGCCTATTTTTGGCATGCCAACAAGAAGATAGATCTAAACGAGTAGAATGAGCCTAAATGAATCGAGCTAACCAATTTTATCACCCCTAATCTTATGTTATAAATAAAATGTGTCAATTCATGCATAATCCTCAAACTCGTCGTTAGCATTTTGTCCAAAGAATTTTGCATTATTTGAAGGGTACGTACTGCCAATCATGGCTTACCTTTGGTACCTTCATCTCATTTCAATCTTACAGTCTTTTGTGTCTCAAACTAGGGATCAGAGATTTGGATGATTTTGGGGAGATCCACCTTTAGATTTTGTGTGTATCTAGGTGCTAATCTTATATCTTGGTCTTCTAAGAAGCAAAACGTTTTCTCTTGATCAAGCACAAAGGTTGAATATCAATTGTTGTTGTAGCTAAGATTAGTTGGATTCAATCATTATTATAGGAATTTTATATGCCATCTACTAAAGCTCCCTTGATCCTTTGTGACAATCTAAGTTGTTCTTCTTAATGTTAATCTTATTCTTCACTCAAGGACCAAACATTTTGAATTGGATCTTTATTTTGTTAGGGATAAAGTGCAGTAGCAACAACTCCTCATCAAGCACATTCTAGCATCATAACAAATTGCAAATGTTTTGACCAAAGTTGTCCCTTAAGCATGATTCTGATTGTACTTACAAACTTAGAGTTCAAAAGTTCTCACCTGAGTTTGAGGGGGGTGTAAAGGAATAGAATGACATTAAAAATTTGTTATAAACTCAACAAAATTTGTTATATAGATATCTAGGCTGTATGTCTACCACTTTTGTCCCTTGTATCTTGACACTTACATTTTTCAATATTATCATAATATTATTCATAAACATTGCGACTCTCTTGTTCTTCTACGTTTTTTTCTCTCTTAACCTCTATACTTTACAGGTTTAAAATTAAAATCGAGTTAAAATTCAAATTCCCATCTCAACTGACTTCCTCAGCTCTTTATTTATGTTCAGATGTTTTTTTGCCAATGAACGACAGACACCAGACATTTATTTTTCACATACAACTCTAATAATCTAATCAATCATTAGCATAAAACAAGCCAAAAGAAGATAAAAAGAAAAAGCTTGCAAGTTGCAACATAGCATGACTTAAGATTTGGAAACCAAATCCACCAAAGTCTTGAAATCCTGTGCTGCCCTCCCTTGTGGCCCTACTGCATCCACTACAACCCTATTCACCTTCACTGCATTTTCCCTCATCCTTTTCCCCTCTTCCTCCACAAGAACCATCCTTAAGCACTTCACCAACCCTTCTTTGGTGAACACCCCACCTTTCACTCTCACACCAATCTCCCAAACATCCTCCACAATCCTACCACTCAACCCATGGTCCCCAAAGAAAGGCCGACATATCATAGGCACCCCATTGCACATACTTTCAAACACAGAGTTACTACCACAATGAGTCACAAACACTCCCACAGAACCATGCCCCAACACCTGAGTTTGAGGAGCCCAAGACACCACTTTCCCATGCTCCTTTGTTCTCTCAAGAAACCCTTTTGGCAGAAGGCCCTTCAGATGCTCTTTGAGAGACCAAAGAAATGGAAAACCACTTGCTTCCAATGCTTCTGCCACTGCCACAACCTGTTGGAATACAAACAAACTTTCATGTATTAATGTGATACGAGGTTAAACATAGTTTACAAGCACACATAAAATCTCACCTTTTGGCTGATGAGTGATGACTATTAGCAAATTCATGAAGACTTAAACTCAAAGTAAATAATATCATCTTAATGTGATAAAAGTTAAAATTAAAAGTAAAGAATAACAATATTATACCAAGACAGGTATACCTAAATAATCGATGCACAAGATATTTTGAAAAAATATATCTCTATACAAACTAGAACAAAATACAAACATAAAACAACCCATCTTAACCTCATGTGGAGGTGGTGTCACCACTGTCCCAAAGCTAACATATGCCACTGATGACCTTTTTTTCTGCTTGTCCAACCATGTCAAGCACCCCGTTTCATCTGTGTCCGAAGGAGGCAAGGGTGGTAGAGGCAGTGAAAGAGTGAGAATAAAACCAACGTAGAGAAAACACTTGAGCTTTGACCTCATGTCATGAACCAACGAGGGAGGGTCTAGTTCCTCAAAGAAATTCACAACCACTGCCTCGGATTGTGGCAGCACACTCCCCAATGAAGCTAGTGTCTTTGAAAACAGTGTCTCCTCTTCGGTGCCACTTTTGATCACTTCTTCTGGCAAGTCTTGAACTTGCATCTTAGAAAATCCAGGGATGAAATCCAAAGGGGTGTCTTTAGCAGTGTTGGGACCACACTTCTGGCGTATTGTGTCGGTATAAAAATGTGCTGAGAGTGAACATGACAAAGGAAGCCAAACTAGAACCCATGGAACGTTTAAGTTCTGAGCCACAGTGAGAGAAAACGTAACAAAAGCATCAGCAATGATGCAAGTGACTCTCTCTTTTGTATCTGCCACTGCTAAATCTATACCCTTTTGCAAGTTGTTAGGACCAGCTTGAAGAAAAAGGTTGACTCTCTCAACTGGGTGGCTACCTGGGACGTGTCCCTCTGGGACTCCATCGCTTATGGTGTAGAACTTGACGTTGTCTGGGATGTCGGGTTTTGAGAGAAGAGGTTTGTTGGAGTGTTGGGTTCCTATGAATGAGAATTGTAAGTTGGGAGATGCATGAGCTAGCTTGAAGACAAGGTTTAAGAGGGAAATGGGGTGGCTACCAAAGGGGAAAACAAACACTGCGATGTGTTTCTTCTCATGTGAGTTTCTCATGGTTTGGTGTGGTAAGCTGAGAGCCATGGAGAATGTTGTGTGGATCAGTGGATGTGAACTTGTTTATTATTGCTAGATTACTTAATTGCCAATTTGAGACAGAAGAAGACTATATAAGGACAAAACTTTTTTTTTTTTTTTACCTCGGTAACAATAGCAAATATACGTGAATTTGTTGAAGCTTAACTTTTGTTGAAAAACATAATCGATAATTTTTTTAATTTTTTTTATTTATAAAACTTAATATAATATATTATTTAAGGGATCGAGTTAAGTACAATTTAAACTTATGTTTCTAGCCCAAATTATAAAGTATGCGCATAAAAGTTTTGTTTGTATTTTCCATTTTTAATTACAAATATTTGAAATTATTAAATTTTAAAATATCATTGTATACGTTTCCAACCATTAAATTTAACTAAGGTGAATAATTATTCAATTCTCCTCCCAGCCTAGACGATAAAGTCGTCAATACTAGCGATACCAAAGACAAGGGATGGATGACAGATATATGGAACTACTTAAAGGAGGGGACACTACCCGAGGACAAAGATGAAGCTCGGAAGGTGAGGGTAAGGTCATCTAAATTTTTCGTCATTAGGGACGAACTCTTCAAATGAGAAATCTCGGCTCCCCTGCTAAAATGCCTAACCAAGTCCCAAGCCACCTACATCATCGAAGAGATCCATCGAGGAAGATGCGGTATGCACTCCGGGGCACGCTTGATGGCAACTTGGGTGCTCCGAGCTGGATACTACTGGCCCAAGCTGAAGTCAGATTGCAAAGATTACGTACAAAGGTGCAACACACATCGGCAATCACCCGAAGTCCTACACAAAATAGCGTTCCCATGGCCCTTTTCCCAGTGGAAAATGGACATCCTCAGACTGTTTTCTCCCGTGAAAGGTCAACTCAAATTCCTCCTTGTGGCAGTCGACTACTTCACCAAGTGAATCAAGGCCTGCCCACTTGCGCAAATCACCCCCGAAAACGTGCAAAAATTCACCTGGAAGAACATCATTTGCAGGTGCGGTATCCCATACTCCCTCATCACCGATAACGACAGGCAGTTCACCGCACAGAGCTTCGAGAGTTTCCTCCAAGAGCTCGGCATCAAACACCTCCCCACCTCGGTGGAACATTCCCAAACCAACGACCAAGCCGAAGCCACAAACAAGGTTATACTCCGAGAACTCAAAAAGCGGCTAGGAAATGTCAAAGGACAGTGGGCTAACGAGCTCTCCAACATTCTCTGGGCATATCATTGCACCTCCCAATCCACGACTCAAGAAACTCCTTACAAGCTGACCTACGGAGCCGACGTCATGATCCCAGTAGAGGTCGGCGAGCGTCCCATCGGCGTCACACCTTTGACACTGAGCAAAACACTCAAGAAACAACAGCCAACCTCGACCTAATAGACGAGCTCAGAGAGGAAGCTCGGATTCAAAAGGAAGCTTGCAAACTCTGAGCCTCCAAAAGATACAACACGCGAGTCTGACCTCGCTCTTTCTGGGTTGGAGACCTAGTGTGGAAACTACAAGGCGAAGCAAGAAGTGACCCATCAGAAGGAAAACTCAATTGCCCCGATTGCAAAATATGCTGCCGAATCTGGTTCGCTTGTTGTTCTTTTTTAAACTTTGGCGTATCTGCACAGCGAATAAAATGCTGTGCCCGATTGTAAGCAATGCCCATACGCTTTAGTTGATCGATATGAATTTGCCCAAAACGACGAGCTTGCACAATTTTTTTAGCCGATTGAACACCTATACCCGGAACACGTAAAATCATACGATAGTCTGCATGTTGAATATCAACAGGAAAATGCTCAGGGTTACGTAATGCCCAACTTAGCTTCGGGTCGATGTCCAAATCTAAATTCGGATGCTGATCATTCACAATTTCCTGCGCATCAAAACCATAGAAACGCATGAGCCAATCCGACTGATACACTATTTATATATTAGATATATCTAATATATTGTAATTAATATGTTTTATATATATATATATGAATTAAAATATTATATATTTATTAAATAGGTTGAAAATAAATAATATAATTATAATTATCTTTTCAATCATTATAATTTTTTGGTCATTATCTTTTTTAAAACTTTGTAATATATTTTTTAAAATAAATAACTTGTGCCTTTTCATATGTTCAACAAATTTAATAGGTAAATTCTGTTAACATAATAAATTTAATATTTGTTATAAATATAATATTATGAAAAAAAATAACAGATCAGATAGATATACCAATTGATTATTCGTGGCTTGGTAATGAGTAAGAATGACTTTGTAATTCTTCTCCAATTGAATTTTGGAAGCATAATAGAAGACTCTTTTCGATTGTCCAGAAACTTTAGTAGAATATGATTTCCTCTTTCATGTGGTAGACATTTCAAAAGGAATCGCATATTCAGCTATCGCATTAGCTTGTTTGTATATTGAGAAGTAACTACCTCTTCACTTGGACTTTGGCTTGGTAGTGTGATGCATGGCTTTTTTATAGTTTAGGTTTAGGATTTAGGATTTAGTAACCTAAATCATTTACAATATAAAAATGTAATTAAATGTTATTTTTATTTAACATATAGGTTACTATATTTCTTGAATAATATTAATGTACTTAAGTTTATTTTGCAGCCTTTATCAAAAAAAATTTTACAAATGCATACTCAAAAATTTTTCTAAATTCTTTATTCTTCATTAATTGTAATGCGTAACACATAAAATTCATTGAAAACTAATTGAAGGTACAACTTGTTAAAATATAGTTGGTCAAATATTATGCGGACTCACAACTTGCAATTTGGCTCTTTAATTTTTCTTAAGTTATCGGATAAAGCTGAACTTTTCCACCTTTTAAAATTCAAATATTTCTTATTAATTGTAAAATAAATTTATTATTTAATAAATTTAATGACATGCATCAACATTAATTAAATACGTCAACTTCTTATATATGAATTATATTATTAATTGATATAAAATTTATCATTTAATAAATTTACAAAATACATTCAAATGTTATAAAACTATACTTTTTTTTATTACAAAACTATATTCCTTTAAAATTCAAATGTTTCTATTAATTGTAAAAAAAATATTAGCATTTAATAAATTTAATAACACTAATACCAAATGAAATGGGCTCATATAGTTTTGAGTATGAAAAATTTTTAGCACACTATTCACAGTAAATTATTCTACCTTTAATGATATATATAAATCAGAATTGAATAATGTAGGATGATCATCTTATATTATATATTATTAAAGATAAAATAATTTGTTAAAAAAAATTCGCTCAAAACTATATAATCGAGACCCAATTTTTTTTAAGAACTTTTTCACCTTTTAAAATTCAAATATTTCTTGTTAATTGTAAAATAAATTTATTAGCATTTAATAAATTTAATGACATCAACATTAATTAAGTACATCAACTTCTTCATATTAAATACATATGAATTATATTATTAATTGATATAAAATTTGTCAATTATTAGCATTTAATAGATTTAATGATGTCAACATTAGTTAAGGACATCAACTTCTTCATATTCATATGTGAATTATGTCATTGATAGGTATAAAATTTGTGGCTCCTATATTATTCAATTCTTTTACATTGCATCATTTTGAAGATGAAAAATACATTTTTTCCTTTCTTCTCATTATCTTATCTATATTATTATTAAAGGTAGAATAGTCAAGAATAGGTATATTATTCAATTCCCATCCTAAAACTTGAAAAAAAAAATCTTATAAAATGTTAAGAATAGAATAGTCTACTAAAATTCCTAAATCCTAAAACTTAAAAAAAAAAATCTTACTCAAAACTGCATAGTTTGGGTCCACTTTTTTCTAGAACTTGCCTTTTAAAATTCAAATATTTCCTATTAATTATAAAATCAAATTTATTAGCATTTAATAAATTTAATTACACTAACCTAAATTTATATATTAACTTCATATTCACTCCATATGAATTATTTTAATAATAAGTATAAAATTTATCATCCTATATTATTTAATTCTCATCTTTATATCTATATCTATCTATATATTATTAAAAGTAGAATAATTTGCTAAAAATATTTCTTGCTCAAAATTGAGCAACTACATAGTTCAAGCCCACTTTTTTCTATAATTTTTCAGCCTTTTAAAATTTAAATATAGCATTTAATAAATTTAATGACGTTAATGTCAATTAAGGACATCAACTTTCACGCTATGTAAATTGTGTTATTAATAGATATAAAATTTTTTAATCCTATATTATTAAATTCTCATCCTACACTATATCGTCAATTATAAGATGAAAGTTACAATTTTTCCTTTCTTTTTATTATCTTATCACATATGAATTTAATAAATTTGAATTAATTTTGAGGAATGAAAAGTGATAAATTGACATAAGTAATTTTTATTATTATTATTATTTACGATTCAATGTGTTAAATAATTCTTCTTTTATTTTCATGGAAAATAATTAATTTTACAAGGAAAGAAATGAAAAAAGGATTTGTTAACATTGAATAAATTTGTTGATATATTTCAAGTTGAATATCCTTATACTATAATACTTTATTTGTTTATAGAAGAATTGAACATTGTACTTAAAATATTTTCAATCATCTTAATTCTTATTATTGTTTCCTTATTTTTATTCTATTTTCTACTTTTTTTTCTTATATATATATATATATATATATATATATATATATATATATATTATTATCATATTATTTGTTTAAATACTACTTACATCTATTATTATTAATTAGTATTTAACATAACAATATGACTAAATTATTTGTTACAATAAATATAAAATATTCAACATTGCCTAATTATTATTAGTTAAATTATTTTCAACTCCTATTTAGTAATAACTATTTTAAATTTATGCTTAAATAGTTCTTAGATATATTATTTAAAAAATAATTATGAACAAACTTATTTACTAAATATGTTTGTTATAATAAATATTATACAATATACTTTCACTAATTATTATTAAATTTATTTTTAAAATTTGTTATTAACTCATTAATTTTTTATATATATTAATTTAATTACTACTTACATATATTACTTAATATTAAATAATTATGAATATTTTTTTTA